AATTATATCATCGCCGACTAGTTGTTAAAACTTGTTCTGTTTATTATGACTGTGTGATGTGGCCTCTTTCAAGCTTAGGAGTGGTGTTACGCTTGCATCAGTGCCATCGAATATAGCGCACCATTCAGCTTGAGTCTTTTTCTTAAAAATTTCTGCAATTTTGTCACGATTCTCTTCAAAATTTTCATACTGCGGTACTTCATTATCCGAAAGACCAAGCTTCTTTATAAAGATTTCATAGAACTGTGGTTCGGTAGCTCCAACACACATGTAAAGCTTATCTTTGGTCTCGTATGTATCATAAAAATGTGAACCTGTATCTAAACTGTAGAAAAACAATTACAAAAAATTTTTCTAAATAAGATAAAATTCAAAAACATTAACATATTTAAGGAAGAACTTACACATTCTTGCCACGTGGATTTCCCCACAGACCATGGAATTTTTGGGATCTGAATAACCAAGATCCTAAGTACGCAGATCCTTCGACCATAGATGCATCTACTATTTGCCCAGCATTGCTCTTGGTTCGATCGTATAGTGCTAAAGTTATTCCGAGAGCACACATTAAACCACCGCCGCCAAAATCAGCGGCCAGATTAACAGGCGGTGTAGGTTTTTCATTATGACGACCAAATAAAGACAGTAATCCTGTGTTAACAATTTGTAGTATTCTTACATTGATGATAACATAATTAGGTTCTATTGATAAAGAGATGCTTTATGATAGAGAAACCATCAAAGTATATAAATTAATTTTATATAAATATATAAGTACTGGTCAATAAATGACTATAATAGAACGTCAAAAAGAATTGTATTACCAGATAATCCTAAATAATTTATATCGTGTCCAGCCATATCTGCATAAGAACCATTTTGACCATATCCAGTTAATCTAGCATATATCAACTTTTTATTTGTGGCCATAAGTTCCTTTGGTCCAATCTTCAACTTTTCCATGACACCTATTAAATGTATATTTGTGTAAATTAAAGGTTTTATTCTTTATTGTTATTAATTATATATTTAAATCTGAAATTACATGTTGCTAAACATTATTATAACTTACTTGTTAACATACAGAGCTTCCTTAAAAGAACCTATTAAAATTAATTAATAATACACACATATATGTACCTCTCCTGTATGTGTCAATAACAACATCACTTTGGTCGCTTAATTTTTTGAAAATATTGATACCACCTTCAGATTTTAAATTTAATGCTATCGATCTCTTTCCATAGCCCAAATGATCTAATGTTTGAGCTCCAATCTGTAGTGATAAAATAGTAATATTAATTTCTATTTATTCATATTTCAATATAAGCTATATATAAACTTTTAGTATAATTAAAGTTATAATTCTAATAGAATTTGTTTCTAATTTTGTTTAGTCACCCTGTCTACTCTGATAACAGATGCTCCGAAATCTGCCAAAATCATTCCACAGAAGGGCCCTGGAGCGAGACCAGCTAACTCCAAAACTTTGATTCCTTTTAAGGCCATACTGCTTTTGTTGATATACCAATTAAATTTTAATTCAATATAATCATCAGTCAACTTAATTATGTAAATTCTCACTTGAGAAACTCTTCTTTCAATAAAATATTTAATTAAATCTGTTCTTTTAATTGGGTTTAATTGGGGATTAATTGGGTAAACAACATTAGGTATCAACTATACACAATAAGACTACTTTTATACAAATAATATTAAAAGAAGATATGAATTAATCACAATAATGAGTGTTTAATAAAATAAACCAATGCAACTTAAACTTGCTATTGATGCTATGTGAAACTAATAAATTTTATCAGAATAAGCATAGAGATTGTATAAATTTATTGTGTAATGCAATATAAAAACTTGTAGAAGTAACTGACCTGAAAATTATGCATTACTAGTCCAAATCAAATGTAATTATAAATTCATATTCATGGACATTTACTAATATACTGAATAAATATACAAGATATGTAGTAAACTCTCAGCAATTTAGATGAAAATAGGAGAAAACATATAATCTGTATTTTGCATAATTATCAACATTAATAACATAAAAATCTAATTTCTAAGATCAAGAGATCTCTAAATATCAATATCCAAGTGTCAAGATACTAGTAAATATATAGTTATATGTATATATCTTTGTCATTTATATATAAATTTATATATAAATGACAAAGATCTATCAAATAAGAGAAAACATGATTCTTATTTCAAGATTTTAACAAGTGAATTATTTCATGAAAGATTCTATTCCTCCGATTTATTTAGTAAATTTATAGTCACATTTTGTGAAGGTCTTTTTTAGGACTCAGACAAAAGATTCGAGCTTTTTACACCTGTATTCAAATTATTCGAACAGATTGAATCTAAAAAAGTCATAAAAAAAGCATCGAGTTTGTACTCTCGGAATGCTCGAGAGCTCATTTGCTCTCGATTTGGATAATTCAATCTGTTCGAACATACCTTCAGCTCGGAAGGCCCGAACTCTCTTCGAACTATCCAACTGATAGATTACCTGAAATTTTCAAGCGCTTGTTGCTTTGGTACTGTTGTACTCCTTCCTGGTAAAATTTACAGACTGATGAATCATCAGTGATGATGATTGCACAGAAAAATTAACTAATATATACGATTCAAAGTACGCCATGTTGTAAGTTTTTTTTTAGAAATGTGATTGGTCAATTTTCTTATAAATATTCATTATGCAGCAGTATGTATTGCACAAATTTCTCTAGATATATTCTTAGACCTAAAAGTTTTAAAAATGAATTCTGTAAGCGCGAAACGCCAGATGGCTCCGCATTTGGCGCCCTTTTTGACACCAAAGGGCATCTGAGACTTGACACTTAGCAATCTTGGGTGACATCATGTTTCATATGGTGTTTGATTGATTTGTTATTTATATTATTAGCGTAAGCTTATGGGTTTTTCCTTGCTATAATTTGAGCTTGTTTGTCATTTTATACTACACAGTGCTTCTTTTTAGTGTTGTTAATGAATTGTATATAGTACATTATCAAAGGTACCGATTAGTTTGATAAATAAATCGGTGATATTTCTATCTGCGATTTTATCTAGTAACAGGCAACTATATCAAATTTGCGTCTATCATTGTTCAACGCACAACAGTTCTGACAATGGCTAATCATGGTAAGATATATACTTAAGAATATATTTTATTTCACATATATGATTCTGTTTAGGTTATGTTTCATTTGATTTTCCAATTGTTTAAGAAGAAGACAAAAGTGAAGGTTCTGCGGAGATGGAGGTCGAAAACGAGGAGGAAAAGACTGAGGAGCTCGACAAAATATTAATTATAGATCCCGATAGTGAGGTTTGTAAGATTTATTTTTAACTGTTCTTGGAGTTCAATAGATTTTCTTAATTTAGAAATAATATAGGTTTTTTAGTGTTATTCTAAATGTTTTAGTAATAAGATTAATACATTACATTTATATGTTTTAGGAACTAGACTTTAACCATTCGAGATTAACTAAGCTGGAAAATCTTGAGCCATTGACACAAATAAAGAGACTATGCTTTACTTGGAATTTAATTAAGAAAATAGAGAATCTGGATACACTCACAACTTTGGTGGAATTAGAATTGAGGGATAATCAAATTACAATTGTAGAAAATCTGGATGCGCTTGTCAATCTAGAGTACATTGACTTCAATTTTATATATTACAATTATATATAGCATATATTTATATTTCTAATAATGTTGCTTATAAATTTTAGATTCTTGGATTTGTCATTTAATCGCATTAAGAAGATAGAAGGACTAGACAATTTACTGAATTTACAAAAGCTATTTTTGTCATCAAATAAGATTTCACAAATTGAGAATGTCTCACATTTGGTGAATCTTACAACATTGGAATTAGGTGATAACAAAATACGTGAAATTGAAAATTTGGAAGGTCTTAAAAAACTGACTAGTTTGTATCTCGGTAAAAACAAAATTATCAAGATCCGAAATTTGGAAGGTCTTGAACATCTTACGCTGTTAAGTCTACAAAGTAATCGGATTACAAAGATTGAGAATATTGAAGAACTAAAGAAATTGGATCAACTGTACATATCTGAAAATGGCATAACATGTATAGAAGGCATAGAAAATTGTCCAGGATTAACTACATTAGACCTAGCTAATAATAAAATTAAAAAGATTCAAAATATCGATCATCTTGAAAATCTTGAAGAGTTTTGGGTAAGAATTTAACTATAAATATTTTTATATTCTAAAAATGTGTAATTGTATATTATAATTTTCATTGTATTAAACATTTGTATTTAACATTTATAGATGAACAATAATGAAATTGAGGACTGGAGTACATTGGAGAATTTAACAGCCAACAAAAAATTGCAAACCATATATCTGGAGTATAATCCTATTGCAAAAGATCCAAATTACAGAAGGAAAATCATGTTATTATTGCCTTGGCTTGAGCAACTGGATGCGACTCTTTGCAAGAGAAAAACGGGTCAACAGTGGAAAGAATAACAACAAGTAAAACATTAAGAAAGTGTTACTAAAGAATTACATAAATCGTTCATAAGCATCCGTATGATGGAACTCAACTTATCTTTTTTGTAGATCTAAAATATCCATCTTTATAGAAGCTTTATCTTTAATGATATTTATGCAGTTAAGATGCTTGATGTTTACCCAAACTAATTAATGTTGAAATTTGATAATTTATTCTTTGAATGTTTTTTTATGTTGAAAAGAAAGTGTGAAAAATCGATCTTTGTCGTTATGACAAATTATGAAACAATTTTATTTCGAACAAACCCTAATATATGAGAATACTTTGCTTCCTATTTCGATTGTGCAATTGTACTATTGTACTCTGCACTTTTGTTAATATCTGTCTCTATCTACATGTATTTATTAATTGTAAGAAGTATGTAGACCTTTATAAGTAGTATTCCAGTTATCTGAAAACATGTCGAGAGGACCTTATAATCGTTTTTAATGATGGATTCTATAAAAATACATATTCATATTTTACAGCATAAGAGAGAGCAGCTTTTTGTAAGACTTTGTTGGTTCATCTTGATAATGATCATTGTTACAATGTAATAATTATATGAAATATACTAAGCTTGCAGAAATAAATAATTATTAAATGTCTCAACTGTATGGTATAAATCATTAAATTTTAAACTGCAATTTGCATTAAGAATGATGGAGTGACAATGGTGGATTAATTATTTCTTGCTCGATCAATTATTTCGTCATTGGCATAGCTGATATCAGAGAGGAAATTTTATCAGAATTATTTGCGTGTTGGATCTCTTCATTTTAGCGGCACTAGTCTGTTTATTTTGTACATAGAGCTTGTATATTCAGACGCTGTGATATCATTTCGAGCTCCGAGCACCATACACACCCACCGAGAATCCCGTACATGTGCGCAAAAGCGTTCTGCGCAGCACATGACACGTGTGCGTATGGTGCTCGGAGCTCGAAATGAAATCACTGCCTAAATGCCTTGTAGCTCAAATCTCGTAACCAACTGAATGACAAAAAGGGATACAGTCTTTCTAATTCTTTTTTTCTATCTCTTGCAAGCGCGGACAATTGGTACAATTAAGGCACTAGATATGTAGGTATTCTCATCCGCCATTTTGGTTCTTATTAGATGGAGAATTATAGCGTATACAGGGTGACACTTAAAGACTGCCCACTAAGGCCGGCGTCACATAGAACCCGTAATCCGTAATCCGCACCGGAAGTCCGCAAAAGTTACTAGGGATTGCGTCCGTAACGTTACGTGTGTTTTTTCTCCTTGTGTCCCATGGAGCCGTAAATACACACGTAACGGTATTTCGTATAACTTCGTATAATGTATGCTAT